GTTGTGTGTGCGGTGTGCTGTGTGTTGTGTGTTGTGGTGTGTGTTGTGTGTTGTGCGGTGTGCGTTGTGTGGTGTGTGTATTGTGTGTTGTGGGTTGTGTGTTGGGTGGTGTGTGTTGTGTGTTGTGTGTTGTGCGTTGCGTGTTGTGTGGTGTGTGTTGTGGTGTGTGTTGTGTGGTATGTGGTGTATGTGTTGTGTTGTGTGTTGTGTGTTGCGTGGTGTGTTTTGTGTGTTGTGCGGTATGTGTTGTGTGGTGTGGGGTGTGGGGTGTGTGGTGTGTTGTGCGTTGTGTTGTGTAGCGTGCGGCGTGTGAACGGTGGTGTGTGTTGTGTTGTGTATTGTGGATTGTGGGTTGTGGGTTGTGGGATGTGTGTCGTGTGTTGTGTGTTGTGCATTGTGTGATGTGTGTTGTGTGTCGTGTGTTGTGGGTTGTGTGGTGCGTGTTGTGTGTTGTGTGCTGCGTGTTGTGTGTTGTGTGCTGAGTGTTGTGGTATGCGTCGCGCGATGTGCTGTTTTTTGTGCGTTGTGCGCTGTGTGATGTGTGTTGCGTGGTGCGTGTTGCGTGGTGTGTTGTGTGGCGTGCGGTGCGTGGTGTGTTGGGTGGTGTACGGTGTGTGTGTGTGCGCGTGTCGTGTGTAGTGTGTTGTGTGGTGTGTGGTGCGTGGTGTGTGGTGTGTGGTACTGTGTGATGTGTGGTGTGTGCGGTGTGGGGTGCGGGGTGTGGGGTGTGGGGCGCGGGGTGCGGGGTGTGAGGTGCGGGGCGTGGGACGTGGGGCGTGGGCGTGGGGTGCGGGGTGTGGGCGTGGGGTGTGGGATGCGGGGCGTGGGGCGTGGGGCGTGGGGTGCGGGGTGTGGGGTGTGGGGTGTGGGGCGCGGGGTGGGGGGTGGGGGGCGGGGGGTGGGGGGTGTGGGGTTGTTTCGGTGTGGGGGTGTGGCGGGGGTCAAAGTAGCCGGCTCGAACGAGCCAGAAGGCTCAGTCCACTCCCACCCGCCGCCCCCACAACGCAAGAAGCAAGTGCGTCGCGCCCGCCACCTGTCGCTCATCTTACACCGCGGGCGGCTAGACGTTCAGCGCGAGACACGAGCTGCGTCCTATTCCTGCCGCGTACTGAGCAAAGTCGACGAGAAACAAGACCGCGCGCGATGTACGCCGCGCCCCGTTCAGGCCTCTCATGTTGCACCGCCGGCGACAACATGTCCAGCGCGCGAAGTGCGCCGCGTCTCATTCTAGCCACGCGCGTTGCACCGCCAATCGTTTCGCTCCTGCCGCGCATGGAGGAGGGGGGGAAGAGGAGGAGGGGGAGGAGGGGAGGGAGAGAGGGAGGGAGGGAGAAACTGAGGAAGACGAGAACGCCTCTTGGGAATTCGCGGGGCGTTTTGGGAACTTTCTGGTATACGCTTGGGGGTCTCCTGGATACATCTATTCCTGGTTGGAACATTGCCAACAAAAGTCGGTACTAACCTCACAGTCCTTCAAACACAAAATGAAAATAAATATCCTCTCGGGGGTCTCCTAAAGAATTTGTTTGAACCGCACTCGATTTAGGCATTATGACTTGCCGCCCGCCCAACTCCTCAACCCGACGGGCCGCAGCGTCGACGACAAGAAAGTCCATGTCGACGAGCAGGCGTCCCCACGCGATGCGCGCCGCGTCCCATTCCCGCTACGCGATTCGCAGCGCCGACGAGGAGAAAATACATGTTGGCAAAAAACGTGGACGTTGCTGTGTTTTTTGACTGGTAGGACGGGGGGTCCCGCGTAGGGTTGGCCAGGAGTCCGCGCGCGATGTGCGCCGCGTCCCATCCGTGCTACACGTTTCGCAGCGTCGACGACAAGAAAGTCAATGTTGACGAGAAAAACGTCGACGTTATATTGTTTTTCATGGGTAGGACGCGACCACCCGTTTAGGGCGACCTAAGCGATGTTCATTCCGTTCCATTCCTGCTACACGTTCCGCAACTCGACGACACGCCGGCGAGAAAAAATGTGAGTTTGTGTTGTTGTGTTTTAACAGTTAGGACGGCGGGGTTGCTATCGGCCCGCGAGGTGGAGATGTGGGGGTGTTTAATCATAGGAAGTAGGGGGGTGCGGGGTGGGGGCGGGAGGGGGGGGGTGGAGGGTGGGGGGTGGGGGGGGGGGGTGGGGGGGGTGGGGGTGGGGAGTGGGGCGTGGGGGCGTGGGGGTGTGGGGCGTGGGGGTGCGGGGGCGTGGGGGTGTGGGGGCGCGGGGGCGTGGGGGTGTAGGGGCGCGGGGTGCGGGGGTGTGGAGCTGTTTCGGTGTGGGGGTGTGGCGGGGGTCAACTTAGCCAGCTCGAACGAGCCAGAGGGCTCCGTCCACGCCCACCCGCCCTCCCACAATATAAGAAGCAAGTGCGTCGCGTCCGACGACAGTCGCTCATCTTACACCGCGGGCGGCTAGACGTTCAGCGCGCGACATGAGCTGCGTCCTATTCCTGCCACGTATTGAGCAACGTCGACGAGAAACAAGACCACGCGCGATGCACGCCGCGCCCAGCTCCTCAACCCGACGGGCCGCAGCGTCGACGACAAGAGAGTACATGTTGACGAGCAGGCGTCCCCGCGCGATGTGCGCCGCGCCCCATCCCCGCTACGCGATTCGCAGCGCCGACGAGGAGAAAATACATGTTGGCAAGAGAAACGTCGGCGTTGCGGTGCTGTTTGACAAGTAGGACGGGGGGTCCCGCGTAGGGTTGGCCAGGCGTCCGCGCGCGATGTGCGCCACGTCCCATTCGTGCTACACTTTTCGCAGCGTCGATGACAAAAAAAACTATGTTGTCGAGAAAAACGTTGACGGTGTATTGTTTTTTGATAGGTAGGACTCCACCACCCGCTCAGGGTCACCCAAGCGATGTTCATTCCGTCCCATTCCTGCTACACTTGTCACAGCGTCGACGACAAAAAAGTCTATGTTGACGAGAAAAACGCTGAACTTGTATTGTTTTTGATGGGTAGGACGCGACCACTCGCTTAGGGTTACCCAACCGATGTTCATTCCGTCCCGTTCCTGCTACACTTTCTGCAACTCGACGACACGCTGGCGAGAAAAAAATGAATATGTTTTGTTTTTTACAGTTAGGGCGGCGGGGTTGCTATCGGCCGGCTCTGTGGGGGTGGTTAATCATAAGAAGTAAGGATGGGGCGTGGGGACACGGGGGTGTGGGGCGTGGGTGTGTGGGAGCGTGGGGGTGTGGGGGCGTGGGGCGTGGGGGCATGGGGTGTAGGGGTGTGGGGGCGTGGGGGTGTGCGGGTGTGGGGGTGTGGGGGGTGAGTGGGGGTGTGGGGGTGTGGGGGTGTGGGGGTGTGGGGGCGTACGTACGTGTGTGTGTGTGCGTGTGGGTGTTTGTATGTACGTGTGCGTGTGCGTGTGCGTGTGCGTGTTCGTGTGCGTGTGCGTGTGAGTGTGCGTGTGCGTGTGCGTGTGAGTGTGCGTGTGCGTGTGCGTGTGCGTGTGCGTGTGCGTGTGCGTGGCGTGTGCGTGTGCGTGTGCGTGTGCGTTCTCGTGTGCGTGTGCGTGTGCGTGTGCGTGTGCCTGTGCGTGCGCGTGTGCGTGTGCATGTGTGTGTGCGTGTTGGTGTGCGGTGTGTGGTGTGTGTGTTGTGGATTGTGTGTAACGTGTGTTGCGTTGTGTTGTGTGTTGCGTGTGGTGTGTGTGTTGTGTGTTGTGCGTTGTGTGCTGTGCGTTGGGTGGTGTGTATGTTGTGTGTTGTGTGTGTTGTGTGTTGTGTGATGTGTGTTGGGTGTATGTTGTGTGGGTTGTGTGTTGCGTGTGTTGTGTGTGCGTGTGTTGTGTGAGTGGTGTGTGTGTGGTGTGTTGTGTGTTGTGTGTTACGTGTTGTGGGTTGTGTGCTGTGTGTTGCGTGCTGCGTGTTGTGGGCTCTGTATTGTGTGGTGTGTGTTGTTTGTTGTGTGGTATGTGTTGCCTGCTGTGTGTTGTGTGTTGTGTGATGTGTGTTGTGTGTTGTGCGGTGTGTGTTGTGTGTTGTGTGTTGTGTGTTGTGTGTTGTGTGTTCTGTGTTGTGTGTTGTGGTGTGTGGTGTGTGGTGTGTGGTGTGTGGTGTGTGGTTAGTTTGTGTTGTGTGTTGTGGATTGTGTGTTGTGCTGTGTTGTGTGTTTGTGCTATTTGCTGTGTGATGTGTGTTGTATGTTGTGTGTTGTGTGTTATTTGTTGTGTGGTGTGTGTTTTGTGGTGTGTGTTGTGTGTTTGTGCTGTGTGCTGTGTGTTGTGTGGCGGGTGTTGTGTGTTGTGTGTTGTGTGGTGTGTTTTGTGTTGTGTGTGTTGTGTGGTGTGTGGTGTGTGTGTTGTGTGCTGTTGTGTGTGTTGTGTGTTGTGGTGTGTGTTGTGTTATGTGGTGTGTGTTGTGTGTTGTGTGGTGTGTGGTGTGTGGTGTGTGTTGTGTGTTGTGTTGTGTGTTGTGTGTTGTATTGTTTGTTGTGTGTGGTGTGTGGTGTGTTGTGTATGGTGTGTGGTGTCTTGTGTGTGGTGTGTGGTGTGTGGTGTGTGGTGTGTAGCGTGTGTAGCGTGTGATGTGTGATGTGTGGTGTGTGGCGTGTGTTGTGTGGTGTGTGGTGTGTGCTGTGTGGTGTGTGGTGTGTGGTGTGTGGTGTGTGGTGTGTGTGTGTGTGCGTTTCACCCACGGGGACATAGACACAGCTGTCCCCCCCAGGGCCAAGCATTCTTCGTGTCGACCGCCTGCCGAGGTCCCCGAAGGTCGAGGCGGTGGTCGTGGATAGCTACGTTAGGTCGGGCACGTCCCCCTACAGGCGGGTTTTGGACGAAAAATGAAAAAAAACACCCCAAACATGCTCAAAATTTGCTTTAAAACAAAAACAAAACAAAAAACACCCCCCCAAAAAAAAACGTCCCCTAACTATTTTGTGACTATTTGAAGATTGCCCCTGTAGAGGGACATGCCCGACCGAAAGCTACGTCCCAGCCTCAGGTAGAGGGGGGCAGGGGCGGCCCTCGCTGAGCCCCAGGCAGTTGACGCTCCAGGTGGTGCGCTTCCACGGCGACGAGGGCACTTCCGTCACCGGGTCTCGGGGTCGGGAGGGGGGGGGGGGGGGCCAGGCCCTGAAGACCCCGGCGTCGCATCCCTGCGTTTTCTCGAAGACGAAAAAACGGCGTAACACACAAACGTTCGGAGCTCCGCGCGGATTTCTTGGATCTGCGCTGGGACCCCCTGGCGGCGCCTCCGGCGCCGCCCCTGGCGGCGCGTGCCGCGCGCCAGGGGCGGGGGTCCCAGCGCGGATCCAGGAAATCCGCGCGGAGCGCCAAACGTTTGTGCTTACGCCGTTTTTTGTTCCTCGATTTTTCTCGCACCCGTGGGGAAGTCAGGGGGCCACCTGCGAACCCTGCCCCTACCCCCCACGATTTCTGAGGGGGAGGGTGGGCTTCACTTCGCTCGGGAGAGCCCGAGCAAAGCGAACCCTACCCTGCCCCTCAGAAATCGTAGGGGGTAGGGGTAGGGTTCGCAGGTGGCCCCCTCTGTTTACGCCGTTTTTTGTTCCTCGATTTTTCTCGCACCCGTGGGGAAGTACCAGGGGGGGTGACCACTGGGGGGGTCGCCAATTCCTCGAGGAGGCGACACCCCCCGAGACCACCCCCAGAGCCTTCCGAAGCGGCCCCCCATGGCCAGAGAAGCCTCCAGAGAGCCTCGATCCCCAGAGATGCGATGCCTGGACCTTTTCGATGCGGAGTCTCCCAGAGTCCCGTCGGGGATCTGCTGACCGCCGAATTGTTACGACAAGTTCGGCATATTTGATTTTCAATCCGTTCCAGTGCAACTTCGGCTCTAATATCTTGCAGCGCGGAGAGCGCTTAGCACCGAGGATCCCATCATAGCAGAGTGGTGGGCCGCGCATAACAGCAAAAATCGTCCACGTCTTGAGTCAGTCACTGCACCTCATTCCTTGGGACAGCGCAAACCTGGGTCAGTCAGGTCTTGCAGGCTGCACTGCAAGGTGCTGCAGGATGCACTGCAGGCTCCTGCGCGCCAGCCCGGGTCAGTGCGCCTGGCTCTGCAGCATCCTGCAAGAGCCGGCGCCCTGGCTGACCCCTGTTTGGGAGCGTTTTCTCATTCGGCGTTTCGACATTGGGCGGAAGGAGGGGGGGAAGGAGGGGGGTCTGGCTCCAGACCTCTGCTTAGCGCGACTGTTTGCAACCGTGCGTCCTATGGGGGAGACCCCACCTGCTTGAAACGGGCGCCAAAAACAGCCAAGATCTACTCCATGAGGGGGGGGAGGGGGGGGTGCGAGGGCGCGCGCCGATCGGCAAAACAACCAATAAGACAAGGATCACAAGAGCCGCCCGTCGTGACTGTGTTTTGTAACTGTGTTTTGTGCGTGTTTGGTTCCAGGCGCGAGCATGCCTGGGCCCAGGTACCTCGATCTCCAGGAGGAGCTGGTGATAAGACGAAGCTAGGACGCGGGTAACAATTGTTGTTGACACTCACACTCCAGACGGCTCAAGGACCACCTCGCCTTCGCGCCCGTCGACGAACACTCTTCTGGGGTCGCCCGCACGAAGCTCGGACCCCAGCGGCGTCTTAGGCAGCAAGCCACCCCAGGGGCCAAAAAAAACGACGAGGAGGCATCGGGAATCTCTGAGATCTGGCGGTTCTGAGGGGTGTCTCCGGCGCCGCGGCCTTCTCAGAATGTTCCGGAACGCCATGAAAGGGCGTTCCAGGACGCTGGGGAACGGACTTCTCCTCGTCCTGTAGCCCCAAGGTGAGCCCCAGCGCTGAACCCCCTCTCGCCGTCGCTCGGACGTCGATTCCCTGTGCATCTTCGCGGTTTCGTGCGTGTTTTTGTTGGCCCAAGGGTCGACGATGTTTCTCGACGGTCCTCGCCGCGAAAAAATGCACGTAGAGTTCCCTGGGGCTACGATCCTCGTGAGGGGTGTGCCGAAATCGCTCGAGGCCGCCATGCGAACCCTGCCACTGGGGCCTTCGGTGGAGCTCCCTATGGGGCCACGACCCTCAACGATCCTCGTGAGGGGTGTGCCGAGATCTCTCGAGGCCGCCATGCGAACCCTGCCGCTGCGGCCTTCGGTGGAGCTCCCTAAGGGGCCACGACGCGTGTGAGGGGTGTGCCGAAATTGCCCGAGGCCGCCATGCGAACCCTGCCACTGGGGCCTTCGGTTGAGCTCCCTGTGGGGCCACGATCCTCAACGATCCTCGTGAGGGGTGTGCCGAGATCTCTCGAGGCCGCCATGCGAACCCTGCCGCTGCGGCCTTCGGTGGAGCTCCCTAAGGGGCCACGACGCGTGTGAGGGGTGTGCCGAAATCGCCCGAGGCCGCCATGCGAACCCTGCCACTGGGGCCTTCGGTTGAGCTCCCTGTGGGGCACGATCCTCGTGAAGGGTGTGCTGAAATCGCTCGAGGCCGCCATGCGAACCCTGCCACTGGGACCTTCGTTGGAGCTCCCTTGAGGCCACGATCCTCATGAGGGGTGTGCCGAGATGGCCCGAGGCCGCCATGCGAACCCTGCCACTGGGGCCTTCGGTGGAGCTTCCTATGGGGCCACGATCCTCGTGAGGGGCGTGCCAAAATGGTTGACATGCGGAGGGCAGAGGCAAGGATGGGAGGATTTTTTTGGACATCAACATCAAGGATGAGTGCCCGCCCAGACGATTAGAGCAGGCTGGCTGGCCAGTGCCAGCAAAAGAGAACTAACACCTGAAGACAGAGGAAAGGCAGGAGGCCACATAGACATCTCCAGCTGGCTGGAGGATTCCCCGTGGCCAGCTGCTTCTCCCCCAGGCGTTAGTCAGAACTAGAGTCGCCCTCGTCTCGATGCGGCAGCTTCGAAACGAGAGGGGCCTCGTCTTCTTCCTGCCGAAGAGGGGACGAGACACCTTGCAACACGAGGCCTGGGGCCTGAGGCTGAAAAGGCGAGTCCCGAGGCGGGCCGCTCGCCGCTGCCAGGAGACGCCGTGCGATCGCGGCACGGCGTCTCTCTCGCGCCCCCTCCTCCTCCGAGGCCGAGGCGGGGGGAGGCTCAGACAAAGGGGCGGGAACCTCCTCCTCCTCCACGTCTGGGACAAAACCAAAAGAATGGCTGCCCCAGGGGCCGCGTTCTACCGTGACCTCTGGGCGCTTAGGGTGGCGCCCTCTGCGGATCAGCCCCCAGCTGTTGTGAAAAGTTGACCAAGTCGGCCCAAGGCACCTGCCTCCCAGTCCTGCGACTCTGCCGTGAGACGAGTAACAGAAACACTTCGTGCAGACTACCAGCGACGCCTGGTCAGAGCAAGACAACGCGATGCAAGAGTGGCCCCTTTTTTCCAGCGCACCTGACTCGAGACCCGCGATCGGCTTACAACGAGGAGCGCCAGGGGAAGGGCCGTGGGTTGACGCACGACTAACTCTGCCACAGGTCATGCATTTCCAGAAGCCTGGGGGTGCCGCCAACTGTGCAACCTGAATAATCGTCCACTGGCATCTAGCAGACGTCGAATTCATAGAAAATGAGACCGACGGCTTAGTCCAGGAGACTTCGCCGAGGTCGAGGCGTGGCCAACTAGGGAGCACTTTCGCGGCTAGCTGACACACAGCACGGGACATTTTGATGTCAGGATCCAGTCTAGCAGCGTCCTCCGCAGACGGCTGCGGATGACCCGGGTAGCCTTCACCGCCAGACGCCTTTTCGGCACCGACATCCGCAAAATGATTCCCAAAACGGCACATCTTATCGAATTCAGAGGTCCAGTCATCGAGCGATTGATGCGCCTTGACTTTGTGGAGAGCATTTACCTTCCACATGTCGTGCAACAGAGACAGAGCGAAACCCCTATAGCAGCGTTTCGGCGACAGCTGGCCCAAGGGTTGCAGAGAAAAGTGATCCTTGACTAGCTGCGCATCAGTATAAAACTCCGACGGAGCACTGGCAAAAAAGACGGCTTGGCAGAAAGCGGCAAATTCACCTGCAGGAGCTGACTGCGGGTACGTCGGCGGAACAGGACCATACACCATGGCCCGCAAGTCGCCAGACTGGTCAACAACTGCGAAGCTCCAACCAGCACGCCAAAGCTCGCGCACCGCATGCCTTAAGGCGCTCCCGTCAGTGAAGATATGCCCGCAGAAATCGAAACTCTGGGGATCCTGGGGGGGCCCTTCAGGAGCAAAGGAGGTGGCTGAGGGCTCCACAGAGGGCTTGGGAAAATAATCCCCAGGATGCGCAAAGGCCCCGTAACAAGACAGCACACTACCAGGCTCCCGTAAGGCTCTATCGATGACTTCAGGCTCCACAAGGCACTCCCGAAGCTCCTGGACGTCTGGGCAACGGCAGACCCAGAGGCGGTGGTGGAGGGTGTCGGGGGCGGTACCGCACTTGTCGCACGTCACGCTAACGTCGCACCCGAGGTCCCTGGCTTTTTGACGAGTCCACACAGCATTGGTGGCGACAGCCCTGATGCAGCCCTTCTCGAAGGCCGAGAACCGTTTGCTACGCAGGGAATGTTTGACCACGTCGAAGCAGCGACGATGAGGAACACCCCACTTAGCCCCTGCGCCCCACCCCAATCCACGAAACACAGCAGCCCGAAGGTGGAGGCGCATAAGCTGGGGGGAGATGAGGGTCAGGGAAAGGATCACCCCTTGGTCCGTTGCAAAGGTGGCGAAGTCCCTCATCGCCCAGGAGATCCTCTCCAAGGACTTGCGCATGGCGGCGACGGGGCCTCCGACTGCACGCCACGAACAGGATTCGTTTAGAAAACACCTTCCCAAGCCCGCCTCAGCTCCCTGAAACTGAGCGAGCCTTCAAAGGCCCGAACTTGGGCGCACCAAACCTCCTTGTGCCAACGTAAAATCGGGGCAACCGAACCAATCCAAGCGGGGCCCCCTCCCAAATGAGACAAAACCGTCAGGGAGCGTTGGCCAGCTGAGGGTTTGATGGTGCTCGCCGCCGAGCGGCGCAGGTGGAGGAGCTCGTGGTCCGTGACCCCGCGCACCTCGCTGCCGTAGAGCACACCTGGGAGAGGCCCTGCCGTGAAGACCCTCAGGGTGCGTCGAGGCCCTAGGGCAGAGCGAAGGTTGGCAACACGGCGGGCACGTTTCTTAAAGAGCCGAAGTCTAGACTTGAGTTTCACTCCCCTCCCCTTAGTCCTCAAGCTCCTCCCCCCGTGTCATCAATGCCCAAATTGATGGAACTGTCCGCGATGGGACCCGTAAACTCAGCACCGAGAGCAGCCCGAATGGCACGGCCCACGGCCGCAGAAGAACAGACCAGGCTAGATTTGTCCTGCGCCACCTTCCCCCCTTATCCCATCGACAATGGCCCCATGAAGCTGCGGAGCCCCCTCGACAATCGAGCGAACCACTTCATTGAAGGCACCTACCGCAGACAACCCCGAGTCGTCAATATACAGGGCCAGGTCACAACAGGGGCGGAGAACAATCAAACCCAGGGCTTCAATGTTATTCACCCTGATGAGGGTAGTGGCCAGGGAACACCCCGCCACAATCCCCGAGAAGACGAACCACGGACCATCCATACACCCGCCGAGGGAAAGGAATCGAGGGGCCCGATAGGCCCTGATGGCCAGTCTGGCCACGGCGACGGGGAAGTCCAACCTTTCACACCGCGCAAGCAGACGATCCAGATCGATCAGCTCATAGTATTTATACATGTCCCAGAGTAGAGTGGCAGCATGTTCCTTCCTGGAGACCCCGCTTTCACTCTTGACACATTGGCGCCACACAACATCGGCGGCCCCTTGATACTTATCAGCGGCAAAGTAAGGCCGAGCGTGCCCCCCTTCCCACTTTTCCGCCAAACCCCTTCTCGCTTTCCCCCACAGGCGATACGGGCTCATGAAAATGCCGATGGGCCTGAAACCTCCCGACGGTTTGCCCAGCAGGGCCAGAACGGTGGCATCCAGCTGGGCAGGCAACATGCTAGAGATTTCCATAACCTGGAGGATCCTACACCAGGCCAAAACCCCTGGGACCGAGATCATACTGAAATGTCTCATATGGAAACCATCGAACCCGACAGCCGAGCTCGCCTTGCACATACGAGACAGACGTATGAGCTCATGGGGATCGAGGGAGGGAGATCGGGAGCAGGTTGGAAATCCTTAACCTGCCCAGTCGAGTGAGGAGCAGGAGTAGCTCTCCACAAAACCGTGAACTTGCTCCTCTCCGCGGCAAGCAAGGAGAGCGGGTCGCTGACCACGCAGCCGTGAGCTGACAGAGTCGAAGTCGGCTTCCACGGCTGGGGCTCAGCAGTGACCACGTGCGCACGCTTAGCTCCCTGTTCAATATTCTCCCGCAGCCAACTGCGCCAGGAAGCTCAGCTGCTGGTCCTAGCTGACGCCTCGGCTGCGGCAACCTCTCCTGAGACCTGCACCGCCAGGTAAATGGCATGGCCGGCGCTGTCCCTGAAACTGCGAACAGTAAATCCTGAGACCAGGGACTGCAGAGTGTCAAGGTAGTGGCGGTTGTCCCCTAAGTGGTTCAAAACAAACTGGGGGGGAGAACAGACAACACGTTTGAGAGCAACCAAGTTGGGGGGGAACGATCGCCAGAAGAGGTCCCCTGAGTGTCAATGAAAACAGTCCAGGACCCGATTGTAAAGCCAACGCACAGCGTAGAGAGCAGGGCGGTGAGGTTCGTCCTTGTCACGGCCAAAGACGGGTTGCCACGCAAACTGAGGAGCCTTGCCCCTAGCACCCCAGAACGGCAGAGAGACTTGCGTGGCCTCGGCCACTTCACATTCGGCCATGTTGGCCCAGAGCTTGTAGGCGAGGTCCAGCCTACGTTGAGTTTCAGCCCCTTTTCCCCGACGAGCGACCGCCACCGTGTCTTCCAAAAAGCACAGAACCGAGTCCCAGGAAGGGGGTTCCCGAATGGGCCCAATAGCTTGCTGTTTGGGAAGAGGAGGGGGCTTACGAAATTCCAAAACTTGCATCTGGGCAGGGTTAGGAAACAATTCCAAATCCACAGGGCTGCGTGGGGACAGGGGGGAATTGTTATTGACAGTCACCTGTTTGACGACCTTGCTGATGCCCGACGAGACGACGAAGTAGTCAAAAACTTTGAGACCTCCCTGGCTCCGAAGGGTGTAGCAGCCGTCGGTGGGGGTGATGAGCTGGCCTTTAAACTCTTGCACAAACTTGCTACGGCAAATGTCCCCAGGGGTCATGTTGAAGTCCCCGCCTACAATGATGGGAAGGTCCGTGTGGGAAGTGCTGGCGCCCACCTGCGAGAACAGCTCAATGTTGCGCTCGGATAGACCCTCTACGTCGCGCAGGTAAACAGACGCGACAAGAATGCGAAGCCCACCAGGAATGACCACAACTGCTGCGCCTGCACGGCGCGGGGCGATGATGAAGCCCGAGGAGAGCGCGCGCATGCCCAGGTAGGAGCGGACGAGCACAGCGATGCCACCCGACGTGCCCCCACCAGGCCCAGGTGCTGCAGGAGCCCAACATGATTTCCATCCTCGCCGAAAGAGCCACTGAGAGGCCGAAGCAATGTCATCATCATCGATGAGGTGATGCTCCTGTACCAGAAGCACATGCGCAGTGACTCTGCTCAGCCACTTGTGCTTCAAAGAGAGCCAGCCTGTAATATTGCAAGCCTGGGCTACAAGAGAGAAATCCTGCACTGGCGGAGCAGGCGGGGGTGCAAACCTGCACCCTCAGAACTGAAGAACACATCCTGGCTTAAAAGGGGGGACTCCCCCGTCGAGCGATGCAGCGAGGGCGCCGCACCCTGCTGCTGGTCAGGAAGGAGGCTCCCGGCGGGCAGCGGCGCCGCCGGCAGGAGCTGGAGCCAGAGGAGCGCCAGGAGCACGAGCTCCGCCACTCGCTGCAGGCGGCGCCCCAGCTCCTGGAGCGGCTGCCGCTGCCCCCGCCGCCCCCGACTTGATACGCTTGGTCGCGGATTGGAGGTAGTCCGCGACCCTCTTCCTGGCTTCCTCGGAGATCTCCTCTCCGCGAATGAAAGACTGGAAGGCCGACTCGTCCTCAGGTGAGACCTGAGGCATGTCAACGTCTGCAGACCCCGACTCCCCGCCCTCCCCACCCCCGCCAAAATTAGCCGCAGCAGGCTCAGCGGGCACAGGCGCGGCAAAGGTCTCACAGGCTGGCTTGAGTTTGGCCCAGGCCTCACGAATGGACCCCAGGTCGCCTCCCTCGAGCACGTCGTTGAAGGAGGCCATCTGCTCGGACAGGTCCTTGGCAGGAGCATCAGCGGCGAGAAGACGGACCTTGGCTGCCAGATCCTTGTACCGAGCACGGATCTGAACCTGCTGCGCCTCCGCCTCTGCCTTCTGCTCCTGGAGCCTGGCAAGCTTGTCCTGGCACTCAGATATCTGCTCATCCAAAGACGCCACGAACTTCTCGTTTTTGGTAAGTGAGTCCTGCACGTCGCGATGCTGCTGCAGAAGAGGAAGCGAGTCCTTGACCGACTCGGCTGAAGACTTGACACACGTAGCCGACTTCTGAATGCTTGCAGCAAGGGCATCGCGTTCTGGGAACTCTTCCTTGAACTGTTCCATGAGAAGAGCCATCTGGGCAAGCATGGCTGCGGGAGTGCGGGGTGGTGCGAGAGCTCCTCCTTTGCCTCCGTCACTCCCACCCTTACCTCCACCCTTTTTGCCCTTGAACCCCTTCTTGTCCCCTCCGTCGGCCTTGGGCGGACCGAACTGCCACTGACCAGAAGGCTGATGAGCAACATTAGGGTCAACTGGAACCACATGCCGAATGGGAGACCAACAGTGCGCACACCATTTATACCACGGCTTGTTGCACTTGATCGCGCCACACGCCGAACACTTAGCCCCTCCATCGCCTGGGGCCATATGACAGCGAGAACCACGAATGTGGGGTGAACCTGGCGGTAGAGCGTTACCGCCAGGGAAAAGAATTGTCGGACTGAACAGTCCTAGCACTGCCGCGGACTAGCGGTATCCGTGAATGCGCAAAAGTCTTGAGCCAAAATGGCTACGGAGCAAGGATGGGAGGAGGGAAGAGGGGGAGGAGAAGAGGAGAGGAGGAGACGCGGGGCGTTGCTCTTCAAAACGAGGGCCCCACACCACAGGATGGTTGGGAAAAATGTAACTGTCAACGACGTTCGAGTCGCTCAGTGCGTTTGCCTTGCGGCATTGTCTGCGGCCCGCAGCGTGCACATGTCGTCATATTCCCCCTATTACACCTCCTGCTGCACCTGACCCCCTGCTCCCAAGGTCGTCCACGGCGAAAGCAAAACCGAAAAACTACCGAAGCGACAGAAAAGCCGAAACCGACCGACCTCGACAGGCCGCGAGCAGCCTAAAAGGAAAAAGCGCGACGCGGCAACCACACACTAACCGACCGAACCGAATCGACCGAATGCAACCGACTGCGACGCATCCGAACCGATCGAGCCGCAAACATCTTTTGCTCCCCTCCCCATCCCTGGGGCAGGCCAGCGTTCGGGTCGATATCGTGGACGAGCAGAAAGATCGTGAACATCTGCAAGGCTCCAAGCAGCAGGTTGCCTCGGGGGCGGGCGGAGCGTCACGAGCTCTTGCCACACAGCGCACGGGCCATGGCACGCGCGCGGACGTGAAGCGCCACGCCTCCCGAGCGCGTGCGTACCTTCACGTGCGCGTGAACACAATTTTTCAGCGCAATTTGGGGAGTCCAGGGGTACTGCAGCTATGTGCCCTCATCGCTGCACTCCAACATGTCGTCGCGCTGCCATTCTCCTGAGCCTTACCCCTCCTCCTCCTGAGCTGATAGAGGCCTCCTAGATGGGGTCGGAGTAGATGGGGTCGAAAGATGGCGTCGCATCGATGATACATCGGCGATGTATCGGCGATGCACCGGCAATGCATCGCCGACGCCAGCGACGCATCGGCGACGTCGGCGTGGACATACACGGGCTGAGCATCGAGCCGCATCGCCGATGCATCGGCGATGCGGCGCGATCCTCCGACACCATCTACTCGGACCCCATCCAGGAGTCCTAGAGCTGAGGGCCAACGACACGGGGGAAATGGCTCGGGGAGGGACACACCGACCGTGCCTCGGCGGCTCCTCGCCGATGATCGGCGATGGGCCCCCGGTTGCGAATCCGCGCCTCCCTGGGCTTAAGTCGGGCCTGTCCCCCTACAGGGGGATTTTCGACGAAAAATAAAAGATACCCCAAAAATAATGAAAAAATCGAAAAACAGTCCGGGGACTATTTTGTTTGTACTTTTGGCCTTTTGGGGGCATTTCTGTGGTGTTTTTAACTTTTCGTCGACAATCCCCCTGTAGGGGGACACGCCCGACATAACCCTGGGCGTGCCCCCCCCCCTCCACGACCGCCGCCTCTCTCGCTGCCTCTGACGAGCGTTATGTCGGGCGTGTCCCCCTACAGGGGGATTTTCGACGAAAAACAAAAAATACCCCAAACAGGCCAAAAAATATTAGAAAAATAGTCCCCAGGCGTTTTTTAATTCTTTTCCCCATTTTGGGGGTATTCTTATTTTTCGTAGAAAATCCCCCTGCATGGGGGACAGGCCCGACTTAAGACGAGCGTGCGCGCGAGTGCGCCCGGGCCCCCGCGCAGCTCAGGGAGTGCGCGCAGCCGCCGCCGGGGGGCGCCGGGGGCCGCGGGGCCGCCACTGCACCTCCTCCGCTGCCTTACCCACCTCCTCCTCCTCCTCCTCCTCCTCCTCCTCCTCCTCCTCCTCCTCCTCCTCCTCCTCCTCCTCCTGCTCTTCTTCTTCCTCCTCCTCCTCCTCCTCCTCCCCCACCTCCTCCGCCTCCTCCTCCTCCACCTTCACCGCCTCCTCCTTCGCCTGCGCCCTGCCCTGCGCAGGCTCGTGCGCGCGGGGGCCCGTCTGGAGGGGGAGCGAAACGGCACAGGCCCGAGCTTGCGGAGGTCCGCGCGGAGTCCTCGGAGCGGCGGTGGAGGCCGCGCTGCCTGAGCCAAGTGCGAGGAGGTCTCCAGCGAAAGCGCGGCCCCCGAATTATAGTCGGGGCGTTGACCTAAGGGACGACAAATGAGGAACGAGGCCCCTCTTTCCCATATAGTAAACTCCGATTTGCCATGGAAAACCTCAGGAGAACCCAAGGAGCACTGTAAAGCAACTGAGGAACACGGAGCCCCTCCCCAACAAAAAGGGTTCCTTCTTCAGGGCCCCGACTGCATGCGCAAGGGAAGTCTCAGGCGTGAGCAGCTCGATGCTCACTTCTATAGAACAAGAACTGTTGATCCCACCCTGGCGGAGCCCACGGTGCTTTTCCGTTCGAGTGTCCCTCCCGCGGTTCGCACCGGCTTTTCCAACAGGAGAGACTTGAGGCTCACAACGTGTTGCTGGGCCATTGCTTACAAAACAACGACGACGACGACGACGACGGCGACGACGGCGACAACAACAACAACAACAACAACAACAACAACAACAACAACAACAACAACAACAACAACAACAACAACAACAACAATTACTAGCACGTGGGGACACTCCGTTCTCACCAGTGCCAGGGTTTTCATAGGAGGCGGGCAATACCCCCACTTTGTGGGGGGGCCGGTTCAAGCTCTACCAAATTTCCAAACGACTCTTCGCCACCACCCACACCCAGCTTCCCGCCCTATGACGTTCGGACACTTCACTTCGTGGCATGCGGACGACCGTGGCTACTATTCAGGGCCCCGCGGCCGACGACGACGGCGTGCGCGCGCGAAGAAAAAACGAATGTGTCCCGCATGGTATTATTTGACAGGGATGATGGCCCTGGCAGGTGCGCAACCGTTGTCGCAGAAGTTCGAAAAGTTGCTCGCAAAAGCCCGTTTGACAGAAATGTTTAAAAAGTGTTGGGTTTCCTACGAATCCGCAAGAGCGCGCGGGATGAGATTTTGACATTTTTTTGTTGAAAAACCATTGGTTTTTTGATGTTTTTATGTTAAAATCGCTCCGAACACTAAGCTTTTGGAAGGATTTCGTCTTGCGCGCGCGAATGTCCACTTTACCTTATTTTTTGCAAGGGATTCTTGAAATTTGATTATATTAGAACAAGAAATGTCATTTTCTATTGTTTTTTGCAAGGGAAAGCGGATTACAACAAAACAACCGGATCCTGTACACACCCTCTTTTCTGAGGCTTCCTCACGAAAATGATGAAAATGTAGCTGCGGCCTAGGCGGCGCAGGGGGGGCGCGCACCAGGGGGCCCAACAATAATTATTCTTTAGAATAAATAATGTTCAACAATTACTAGCACGTGGGGACACACCGTTCTCACCAGTGCCAGGGTTTTCATAGGAGGCGGGCAATACCCCCACTTTGTGGGGGGGCCGGTTCAAGCTCTACCAAATTTCCAAACGACTCTTCGCCACCACCCACACCCAGCTTCCCGCCCTATGACGTTCGGACACTTCACTTCGTGGCATGCGGACGACCGTGGCTACTATTCAGGGCCCCGCGGCCGACGACGACGGCGTGCGCGCGCGAAGAAAAAACGAATGTGTCCCGCATGGTATTATTTGACAGGGATGATGGCCCTGGCAGATGCGCAACCGTTGTTGCAGAAGTTCGAAAAAGTTGCTCGCAAAAGCCCGTTTGACAGAAATGTAGTGTTGGGTTTCCTACGAATCCGCAAGAGCGCGCGGGATGAAATTTTGACAATTAAAAAAAAAAATGGTTTGTTGATGTTTTTATGTTAAAATCGCTACGAAAACTAAGGTTTTGGAAGGATTTCGTCTTGCGCGCGCGAATGTCCACTTTACCTTATTTTTTGCAAGGGATTCTTGAACTTTGGTTATGTTAGAACAAGAAATGTCCACTTTAGCTTATTTTTTGCAAGGGAAAGCGGGCCGTAACGAAACAACCGGATCTGGATCACATCGTTTTGTCAAAGGTTTTCGCTCGAAAATGATGAAAACATGGCTGCGGCCTAGGCGCGGCGAGGGGGCCGTGCACCAGGGGCCCCAACAATAATTATTCTTTAGAAGTAATAATGTTCAACAACAACAACAACAACAACAACAACAACAACAACAACAATCAGTTGAAAGCTGTTCGCTCTTACTGGCACGCGCGTCTTGCATTCCGTATACCCCAACCCTCGATACGCGCCCAAGTCGGTTTCGATTGCACCCCCTTTCGGGGGGAAGCTCTTCCTTGTCGGCCACTGACTGAAGTGCGAAGAAGTCTCGAACGAGAGCGCCGTTTCTGAGTTCGGGGGCCTGTTTGGCCAGGTGCTTTCGGAACACCTATGGAGAATTATCGAACGAGAACCCTTGTCGCCATGTCCGGGCCTCCACCAGATCGCCTACGGGAAAGGCTCGAGCAAGAGCGCCGTTCCTGAGTTCGGGGGCCTTCTTGGCCAGGAAATCTCGGAGTAAATCGTGAGGAAATATCGAGCAGGAGCCCTTGTCGTCGTGGCGGGGCCTCCGCCAATTTAATTGAATTGCGAGGAAAGGCTCGAGCGAGAGCGCCGTTCCTGAGTTCGGCGGCCTCTCTGGCCAGGGTGTCTCGGGGTAAATGGTGAGGACATATCGAACGGGAGCCGTTGTTGTCGCAGCTGGGCCTCCAAGGGCCCACATCTAGGCTCAAGCCAACGCTCAAGCGGGAGCCTCGTTTTGAATGTAGCCGGCGTCGAAGCGAGAGCGCGCGGAACCGTTTCCGGAGATCAACAGCCTTTTGTTTTTGAAATGAGTATTCAACAACAACAACAACAACAACAACAACAACAACAACAACAACAACAATCACTTTACCCGAACGCTCAGTGTTCTCACCAGTGCCAGGGTTTTCATGCGACGCCAGCCAATACCCCCACTTTGTGGGGGGGCAGTGCAAGCTCTACCAAATATCCACACGACTCTTCGCCACCACCCACACCCAGCTTCCCGCCCTATGACGTTCGGACACTTCACTTCGTGGCCTGCGGACGACCGTGGCTACTACACTGGCGTGGAGTACACACCCACAGAAGTTGTTAAGCCTACGTTCGTACACCCACAGAATTTGTTAAGCCTTGTTAACCCACAGAAGTTGTTAAGCCTTCCACAGAACATCTGTTGCATATGATGCATATGGTACATGATACACATGTAACATAAATGTTGGAAAACCATTGGTTTTTTTAGGATTCGGACAGCGCGCGCGGGTGGAAATTTTGAAAAGTCGTGCAGGTGTTTTTCGAGGACCTACGGTGCGATTCGTGTGATTTTATGATGCGCGGTGCTAAAATTCTTAAGAAGCCCAATGGTTTTTGGAGATTTCGGCGTGCGCGCGCGAAGAAAAAACGAATGTGTCCCGCATGGTATTATTTGACAGGGATGATGGCCCTGGCAGGTGCGCAACCGTTGTCGCAGAAGTTCGAAAAAGTTGCTCGCAAAAGCCCGTTTGACAGAAATGTTTAAAAAGTGTTGGGTTTCCTACGAATCCGCAAGAGCGCGCGGGATGAGATTTTGACATTTTTTTGTTGAAAAACCATTGGTTTTTTGATGTTTTTATGTTAAAATCGCTCCGAACACTAAGGTTTTGGAAGGATTTCGTCTT